GGGGGGGACTGTGAAGCATGATGGGATCAGCAATGACCTTCACTTTTTCCTCTTTATCAGTGCTGATATAGTGGCACTTTGTTCCCGGATGGCTCTAGAATACTTAGTAGTTTACTTAAGAATTTTTAGAACATCTATTCTGTATTTTTCTCTGGTTCCCTTGTTTGGGAAGGAATGAGTTAGCCAGGTATTTCAAGGAGCTGATGATTGTTTTCTTCAGGTGGGAATTGAAGCTTGGAAAAGTGCCTGTGACAGTACCGGACTGACACCTAATGATTATGCATGCTTGCGAGGCCATTACTCGTATATTCATATTGTCCAAAAGAAAATCGGTCAGAAACCAGGTGATGAGCATGTTGTTCTCGATATCCCTGGTTCGGTGCTGGATAGCAGTATCAAGCAGAAACTATCCAATGGTCATAGGTCTGTAAGTATTGCTAGCTTACAAACTGAGAAGTCTTTAAGGAAACCAATTAAAACGCATTGCAGACAGTGCGACCAGAAATACTATTATGGAAACCCGGGATCATCACTTGCAATATACAAACCGGCAATGCTTTCAATGGTTGCTATTGCTGCCATCTGCGTTTGTGTAGCTTTGTTATTCAAAAGCTCACCGGAGGTTCTTTACTCGTTCAGACCGTTCAGGTGGGAGCTGCTGAAGTATGGCTCCATCTAAAGTATAGCCTAATATCATGGTTATAGAAGACAGTATAGGATACCATGACTTGTTTTTTTCTTCTGAATTTATTGATCGCAATATAACTGGAGAGTTCCAACTCTATGTATATTTTATGTTTTACTAATTCGTCATAAAATATATGAGAAGCTCTAACTACAAATAGGGAAGTTATATTCTTTTTATATGTTGATGGTAGAACTAGAATAGGACTGGCCACTGGGATTGTAGTTGTAGATGCTGCAGATCTGAGCCCGAATATGTAGTGGATAATAAGTAGATTGCTGCAGATCTCAACTATATAGAGTACTAATTGCTTACATCTATGGTCTGAGCACATCATTTTCCTGCTAAATTGACTTCTTTGCATCCATTTAGGTAAAATCTGGACAAGCTGTTACATTTGTCATCAACTTTGTTCTTTTTAGCTGTTCTTTCGTCGCCCAAACCTCTGTTGCAATCTTTCATTTTTCTTTGTATAGTTTTAGTATAATTCATCATTGTCAAAATTGTCATTTCTGATTCAAGATTACTTGGACAAAGATTTGTTCCAGATAGCAGATCGGCCAATGGGAATCGAGACAGCTACTACTAATTGAAAATCTTTATCTAACATATTGAAGGAATATTGGACCAAAAAAGGTTCTATCATGCCTACTGCCCGCAGCAACATATAACAAAAGGCAAGAGTTTATAACCTCAACCAATAATACCAAGTATACTCCACTTTCCCAAGAAAGTTAAGAACAATATTTCTTAAACCAAGAACAAAAGAAATTTAAGATATTGAAAAACTTATAGAAGAAACAACTGCATCAGAATCAAGATTGAGGCTTGTCCCACTTGAGAGGCTTAACAACTTCCCATGTAAAGTCAGGATCATCTCTACCAAAATGACCATAAGCAGCAGTTTTCAAGAATCTGTTGTTGCCACCCCTCTTTAAATCCAAGTCAATTGACATCATACCAGGCCTAAAATCAAAGTTCTCCTTCACAATCTTGAGAATTTCCTTATCTGGTATTTTTCCAGTTCCATAAGTATCTACAAACACAGACAAAGGCTCGGGCACGCCAATGGCATACGAAACCTGCACAATGCACCTTCTAGCAAGACCATTGGCAACAATGCTTTTTGCAGCTTGTCTTACAATATATGCACCACTTCTATCAACCTTGGTAGGATCCTTTCCTGAAAATGCACCACCCCCGTGTGCACCCCACCCTCCATAGGTATCGATAATGATCTTTCGGCCTGTGAGACCAGCATCACCATGAGGTCCACCAATGACAAATCGGCCCGATGGGTTAAGGTGGAATATGGTGTTTTCATCAAGATACTTCTCGGGTATCACGGGTTTGATTACATGTTCTTTCAGATCACAGGCGATTTCATCGTTTGTGACAGTCTCATCATGTTGAGTGGAGATGAGGACAGTATGGACACGAACCGGAACCATAGCACCATTGTCATTGTAATACTCAACAGTAACCTGAGTTTTACCATCAGGCCTGAGCCAAGAGCAAGTTCCATTCTTGCGAACCTCAGTAAGGCGAGCGCCAAGTTTAGTAGCAAGAACATGGCTAAGGGGCATCAATTCAGGTGTCTCATCAGTGGCATAACCAAACATATGACCCTGATCACCAGCACCAATTTCCTCTGGTTTTTTGGTTAAGTGACCATGAACACCTTGCGCGATATCAGGGCTCTGCTGTTCAATGTTCACAAGAACCTTGCAATTATCAGCATCCAACCCCACATCAGCGGATACAAATCCAATCGCCCGACATGTATCACGTACAATTTTCTCATAATCTACAATGGCTTTAGTGGTGATCTCACCAAAGACCATGACCAAGTTGGTCTTAGTACAAGTTTCACAAGCAACTTTGCTTTCAGGATCCTGAGCAAGACAAGCATCAAGAACAGCATCAGATACTTGGTCACAGAGTTTGTCAGGATGTCCCTCATTGACAGATTCAGATGTGAACAAGAAAGTCTCCATTTCTTTAAAACTGTGTATAAAAAAGTTGGATGATATCAGTATTTGGAAAGAATTCAAAAATCACAATTGAGTTGAAAAAAGAAAATTACTCATGGCTGGTATTTATACCAATCCACCATAAACACACGGTTATCACTAAACTATAGTTCATTGATACACATTCTCACATCAATTCATCATTTGATCAAAGGCGAAGCCATAATTTCAATCTTATGGGTTATGGATTTTAGAACGACTTTAAGTGCTAAACACTGGGTTCTAAGTTTAATATTTGTACATATTTAATGAATTTTTTCACACAAATACACTGTTTGAGCAAAAACTATTGGGTTCAGCTGAATCCATAGCTCGGCTTTTACCTCCGCCCCTATCGACAATGGTATATTAACACTACAATATTTTGATATACAATGGTTAGTGATAAAATTAAGGTGACAGTGTATACTAATTAACTATGGCTAAGAGATAACAATTTATGTAAAGACACATATCATGTGTTTATTTGATTGGTGTAAACACTAGGCATGACATGAGTAAGTTATTCCATTGAACTATAGTATACTGCAAATGATCATAAAAACAGACCCCAAAAATCCATGAATGTAGTGGCAGACGTAGTATCCTAAGTTTTTAACAAAGTATGAATACAACAATAACCACAAATACAGTGTAATCCACAAGTGAGGTCTAGGGAGCATAATATGTACGCAGACCCGATGGACCAACAAAGTATGAATCTTGATTGATATTACACATAAATAAGCTTCAAATCTAACTCACTTCTTGTGTTTTTAAGAGTCCTCTTAAACATGAAGATGAAAAAAAACCACAATTAAGGATACAAACGCTAAACTATGTTAAAGCAGCATCTCAAGACCTAAGTTTGGACCATTTCCAAAAATTCAAGAACATAAAATAAGTGAATTAGATCGATCTAAAGGATCAGCCCGGTGCACAAAGCATTTCGCGGGCACACACGCATACCAAAGGTTATAGTATAGACAGTATAGCCAAACGCAAGCATTAATGATTGATTTACCGTTGCTACGTGAATCAAATTTATAAAGAGAAAAAAGAAAATACTACAAGTAATTGAATAGGACTGCAAACCCAAAGAACGAAATGTAGAAATAGAGAGGGATAGAGAAATGAGACCTTAAAAAGTGGGTGCAAAATGATCTCTTGTCAAAGTAAGAACATAGAAAGGCAAGAAAGTTGGTAAACAAAGATGTCTTTATATAGTAAGAAAATGGGAGTAATTTTGATCATAATATGGGGTAGATTCATTATGTATTTTTACTGGGGTAGTTGGGATTCTCATATTTACGACATACCTTATTAATTTAGTCAAACTACCTTAAATAAACAGCTCAACTCCATAGTATTTAAATTAAAGAATTTAATACATAGTCAGTGTCGGTAGACACGGTTTTACTGCTGTCCTCCAAATCCAGCTCCTATTCAGTCTGGTCCAATCATTCTTGTCGTCAGTAATATGAATTTAAGTTTGATTTATTGTCGGTGTAGAAGTATTTAAATGATAAAAAATTGCTTAATATACATTATATACTCCGTTCACTTTTACTTGGTCAATGTTTTAAAAATAAATTTTTACTTTTACTTGTCATTTTTAGCATATTAAGAGAAGATAATTTTTTTTTTCTAATTATACCCACAATATTAATTACTCATTTCAAATCATTTTTTCAAATCCATTAAAAGTATGCATCAATTAATATAGGTATCATGGTAAATTATGCACTTTATTTATTATTTTTTAAGATGTGTGTAAAGTCCAGGTGAACAAGTAAAAGTGAATGGAGGGAGCATCTGTTTTCTAAGGGAATTGTACACTTCAAAACAAATGTACTTAGTTAATAATCTTTATCACAACAGTATTTGTCTAAAATATGTTTTATCTTTATTTAAAGTCTCATTTTATTAATTAACACTTCACTAATTGAAGTAATGAGTACGAATTTGAAATAAATAATAAATAAATAAATAATGTTTTTTTTTGTTTTCTAAAAAGCTAAATAGTTTAAAAGAAATTTACTAAGTATTTAGAGTGAAGGAACATAATATAACGTGAAAGTAGAGTGAGTAATTTTTTGGAGCCATTCAAATATATCGAATATGTAACTAGTTTTTCAGATCATTTTTTATATAGAACAATTATATGTACTGAATGTTGCGCGTAACCACAAAACAAGTCTTGTAGTTTGTAAAATATTAAAAGGGATGTGAAGTCATACACGATTAGACAAGATTAAAATACAAACAAGACAAGTAGAGGATAAAATGAGAGAGTGATTATTAGGAGCGAAATCAACAATCATAATTGAGGTGTTAAAATAGGACAAGTTAGATCTAAAATTGCATGGATAAAAATTGTGACAGATTTATAATCTCATGGAAATGAAAATTTAATGAGAAATAGAACGTACTGGAAGAATAAAATTTATATATAAGCGATTCTAGTAGAAAACTACAAAGTTCAAATATGCTTCTCATGTTGATGTTGTCTTATACAAAACCCATCTTCCCTCCAACAAATTCAACCTGAGCCAGATCCAACGATCATCAACCAACCTATGTAATGTTTCAATAGGGGTTGCGGTAGGTACTTTTTTATTTTTAATCAAAGGTTTCACATTCAAGCTCAAGGTATAGAATTGCATTTCTTATTGAGTGTTTATCTTGCCAACATGAATCCAAATTACTTGTGCTATGCACGACACTTGAAATCTATCAGTACTCTGCACGATCACTTGGAACCTACTTGTGCTCTGCTAGGCTACTTGAAACTTATCCGTGCTCTGCACGGTCACTTGGAACATACCTGTGCTCTGTACGGTCACTTGGAACATACACGTACTTTATATGATCACTTGGAACCTACTCGTGCTCTCTACAACTCTTGGAACCTATTGTATAGCCACTTGGAACTAGGGCTGGCAAGTGGGCCGGTCCCGGGCCTAAACGGGTCAAGTGGGCCGGTCCAAACGGTCCCGGACCGGTCTCAAATTAAACGGGCCCGGGCCTAAACGGGCTTTTTGTATTGACCGGCCCGGGACCGGGACCGTTTGGTCCCGGGCTAAATGGGCCCAACATATATTTTTTTAAAAAAAAAAAAATTAAATAGATATTAGAAACAAAAGGATGTTAAAAAAAATATCTAAGGCAATACTTTTGTAAATTTTATTATA